AGACACGCCGCGGAAAGTTCCAAAGGGACGCGCCAGGCGACGTGACAGTGGACGTGCCATGGGGGCGCACCGCGGGACGTGCCTTCAAGGGGGCGCGCTACGGAACGTGCCAGTGGACGTGCCACGGGACGTGCCAGGGGACGCGCCGCGCGACGTGCCAGGGGGACTCGCCAAGGGACGCCCCGCGGAACGTGCCAAGGAACGCGCCAGGTTGCAATGCTGAGTGTATCGATCTTGATGTACCGTGCCTAGGGCTGTGCTGTGCTGCGCCGTGTTGTGCCATGCCGCGATTGTGCTCTATAGCGTTGTGGATCGAGTCCTCCTTTGCATCCGAGTCCTGACCGAACTGATCTGGATCGTAAGCTCGAGCTGCCTGAGCACATAGTCCACACAGTAGCTGCCCCAGAGCTAATTGTCAGGGGGACATGCCAGGAAGACGCACCGCGGAACGTTCCAAGGGACGTGCCAGGGGACGTGCCAGGGGACGTGCCGCGGGGACGCACCGCGGGACGTGCCAAGGGGACGCGCTACAGAACGTGCTGGGGACAAGCGTCGTGTTGGTGGCCTGGGCACGTAAAAACACATGGTACCAGTTCGGGACAACCATGTTAGATACCCTTTGGGTGGCCTGCACACGTAAGTATCCTGGCGAAGGGCCCAACCATACGCAATTCCGAATGCCGCCGTTGTAAGTATCGTCGTTGGTGGAACACCCGATGGGGCCACGAAGCGTGTGAGAGGTGCGCCAAATGGAGGTGGAACTGCATGCGGACCCTGCCTCTGGGGCCTTCGGTGGAGCACCCTGTGGGGCCGCGAAACGTGTGAGGGGTGCGCCGAAATGGAGGTGGAACTGCATGCGGACCCTGCCATTGGCGCCCTCGGTGGAGCTCCCTATGGGGCCGCGAAACGTGTGAGGGGTGCGCCGAAATGGAGGTGGAACTGCATGCGGACCCTGCCACTTGGGCCTTAGGCGGAGCTCTCTATGGGGCCACGAAACGTGTGAGGGGTGTGCCGAAATGGAGGTGGAACTGCATGCGGACCGTGCCACTTGGGCCTTAGGCGGGGCTCCCTATGACGCCACGAAACGTGTGAGGGGTGCGCCGAAATGGAAGTGGAACTGCATGCGGACCCTGCCACTTAGGCCTTAGGCGGAGCTCCCTATGGGGCCACGAAACGTGTGAGGGGTGCGCCGAAATGGAGGTGGAACTGCATGCGGACCCTGCCACTGGGGCCTCAGGTGGAGCTCCCTATGGGGCCACGAAACGTGTGAGGGGTGCGCCGAAATGGAGGTGGAACCGCATGCGGACCCTGACACTTGGGCCTTCGGTGGAGCTCCCTATGGGGCCACGAAACGTGTGAGGGGTGCGCCGAAATGGAGGTGGAACCGCATGCGGACCCTGACACTTGGGCCTTCGGTGGAGCTCCCTATGGGGCCACGAACACGTGTGGGGCCTTCGGTGGAGTGCGCCGAAATGGAGGGGCGCATGCGGACCCTGACACTGGGGCCTTCGGTGGAGCTCCCTATGGGGCCACGAAACGTGTGAGGGGTGCGCCGAAATGGAGGTGGAACCGCATGCGGACCCTGACACTTGGGCCTTCGGTGGAGCTCCCTATGGGGCCACGAAACGTGTGAGGGGTGCGCCGAAATGGAGGTGGAACCGCATGCGGACCCTGACACTTGGGCCTTCGGTGGAGCTCCCTATGGGGCCACGAAACGTGTGAGGGGTGCGCCGAAATGGAGGTGGAACCGCATGCGGACCCTGACACTGGGGCCTTCGGTGGAGCTCCCTATGGGGCCACGAAACGTGTGAGGGGTGCGCCGAAATGGAGGTGGAACCGCATGCGGACCCTGACACTTGGGCCTTCGGTGGAGCTCCCTATGGGGCCACGGAACGTGTGAGGGGTGCGCCGAAATGGAGGTGGAACCGCATGCGGACCTTGCCACTGGGGCCTTCGGTGGAGCCCACTATGGGTCCACGAAACGTGTGGCCATGATGGAGACGGCGATGATGATGACGACGATGGTGATAAGAACGATGATGATGATGATGCTGATGATGACGGTGACGATGACGATGATGATGATGCTGATGATGAGAGGAGGAGGAGGAGGAGGGGGAGGAGGAGGAGAGGAGGAGAGACGCGGGGCACCGTCTCTTCAAAACGAGGACCCAACACCACAGGATGGTTGGGAAAAACACGTGGCTCCAGCTCGGGACAATCATGTTAGAGATCCCATTGCGTGGCTTGAGCAAGCCGAAAAAGACACGTGGTTCCAGCTCGGGACAGTCATGTAGATACCCCCTTGCGTGACTTGGATACGCTGAACTCGCGCTCCCGCTCAAGGCATCCTCGCAATGTCTTCCTTGGAGAGGCCCCCAAAGCGCAACCCCCTGTTCAGAGCAAGAAAACGCTATTTTTCTGGATCGGGGGATGTGTTCGGGTAGCGCTGTTCGGCCCCCCGTGCGTTTTCTGATAATTCGGCGTTAGGCCCGACGCCATGTTAGATGCCCCCTTGGGTGGCCGGGGCGCGCAAAAACACGTGGTGCCAGTTCGGGACAACTATATTAGATACACCCAGGAGTGGCCTGGACATGTTAAAACACGTGGTCTTTGGTCGGGACAGTCATGTTGGATACCCCCTTGGGTGGCCAGGACATGTAAAAACACGTGGTTCCAGCTCGGGACAGCCATGTTAGATACCCCCTTTGCGTGGCCTGGATACGCTGAATTCGCGCTCCCGCTCGAGACATCCTCCCATTGTCTTCCCTGGAGAGACCCCCAAAGCGCCACCCCCTGTCCAGAGCAAGAGAACATCACTGGGACATGTGTTCGGGTAGCGTTTTTCGGCCCCCCGTGCGTTTTCTGATAATTCGGCGTTGGGCCGACGCCATGTTGGATATCCCCACTGGGCGGCCTGGACACGTGGTTCCAGTTCGGGACAACGGTCCACTATGTTAGATACCCCCGTGGGTGGCCTGGACGCTTGAAAAAACACGGCTCCAGCGCAGGACAACCATGTTAGATACCTTTTTTGGGTGGCTTGAACATGTAAAAACACATGGCTCCAGCTCGGGACCAACATGTTAGATATACCCTTGGGTGGGCTGGACACATGAAAACACGTGATTCCAGCTCGGGACCACCA